ACCGGAAAAAATAGACCTCCGTTTTAAAACAGTCCATTCAAAAAAAGGTGTCACAGAACAAATGCAAAAGACTCTTCAACCCACAACATATGTACAAGAGTAAAAGTAGGCAAAATGGAAATTAATGAGAATGGCATTTAACATTTCTCCCTGTGTGATTCAAGGGATGAGGCATACTGTTTGTGAACAGAAGCTGGATGAAGAAAAATGTGACAGAGGGCCCTTTGTCAATATCCATTTGATCAAAATTCTTTCTATTTTCATTATTTCCAGTTGTTGTTTTTATTTTTCTTTTTCTGAAGGGGAATGTGATATGTCTAATAAAAGAATCATAAACGTATTTTAAAAATCCCTTTGAGGTCTCTAGAGGAAATTGTATTTTGTACGCATTTTCAAACTTTTTTTTTTTTGTCATATTGCTTTGTCATTTTCACAGCAGAACAAATCAAGTCTATGAGAGGACGTAAAAGAAGTTTGATCAAACAGGGCGACGGGAGCCTCCACATATGCACATCCAGGCTGCTTTAATCCCCTACGCTCAGTGGAAACCACATCTCTGTTCGATCCTATTGCTCTGAGTGGTTTGTGTTCTCTCTAGAGAAGCCGTCTGTCCATCTGTCTGCAACGGCAGGCCAGCAGACATTCCCACGCCACTTCAGTCAGTCCTATCTGTGCACTGGCAGAGGTACGGAGTCTTGCAAGAATCTCTCTACCCAATAAAGTTATTACTTTTATACATGGAACATTATGAACTTAGGTTTCCCTTTGTAAGCCATTTTATACTTTCTGCACTTTTGTGCTTTTACTGAGTATAAAAATAGGTCTCCTTTAAAATTCTGTTTAAGTTCACTAAAAAACTACTTGTTTGTGAAATTCTCTTATAAACTCACTGCATCCACATGGAATAGACAAAAGGAATTAGGCAGCTAATGGATATAGGTAGTGTTAAAAAAATGCAATGAAAAAACATGAAGAGATGTTAGAATTCAAGAGGGAAAAAAAAGCCAGCAGGAAGTAAAATGGAAGAGAGCTCAGTTTCCTACTTTTTTTTTCATCTTTATTGTGGTTGAGAAGGTGGGCTCCACAGAAAGGGTGAAACAAAGCAAACAAAAATAAAACCCACTCCGAAACAAAACCAAAACCTGAGTTGTTATCAAAGAGCAGATTTTTCCAAAGCATCGAATAAAAGAGGATGTGGTAGAAGAAATCAAATAGAGTGAACAGTGAGAAAGAACCAATAGTTAAAATAAGCCAAATCGGAAAAGCATGTCAAGAGTCTTTACGTGGAGACGGTTACTTTGGGGACTTGCAAATTCCTGTGTGAGGACACGTAAGGCTCATGATTGTTCTCCTTACAGGCATAGGCTATACAAAGGGTATTGGAAACTGACATTCCTAATGGAAATTTTATAAAATTTGGCCCTTAGAATAACTGAGAAATATCCTGAAAAAATCTTCCCTGAAACTGTAAGAAAGAAAGTTTCTTATCTACTGATAAAATTGACAACTCAGTAAACTAGTTTCGCTGGTCTTCCTACGTAAGAAAAAAGCACAAATATATTTGCCTCAGAAATCTGTTAAAAGCAGGGGACCACGCAGTAAGAGTATAAAGAGTCTATAAATGGGAGAGTCCAAGAAAACCTCTCCAAAGTGTACACAAGGATACATATGCCCATTAGAAGAAAAAGTAAGAATATACATATTATTAATCATATCAGAGGATAAAAAAGTTAAGATTGATATAATATATTTATATTGAATGACTACTATAAAATAGAGCAACTTATTTGTTTTATTTCTCAGATTCCTTGGGCAGCAGTCACTTAAATCCTCAGGTGAAAAACAAATGCAAATTTCATGTACTATACCAGTATCTGATGATTCCCGTTTCAACTCCCAGAGAAGAGAAAAATAAGTCTTGCCTTTGAGTCTTTTTCCTTTCACCAAAAAACAACTAAATCATCCGGACTGCTACATGCATGCATATTTAAATCACTTCCCCTGATTAACATCAAAAAGAAGCATCTTTGCCCAAAAGAGTGGTAGTGATTTTCCCCCCCTCTAGTTAAAGGATAATCGGCTCACAAATAATTTGCCCAGTGTCTGTAGTCATTCACGACACACATAATATCCGCAAAGCACAGTTTAAGTGCACTGCCTTTTATTAGCACTGCTTTTTTTTTTTTCTTAATAAAAGGATGCATATCAGAGTGTAAGAACTGGAAATTAATTCCGCAGTTTATAAAGAATCAGTAAGAGAATGCTGGTTCAAGTTCTTCAAGATGGAAATCTTACCCAAATGCCATCCAAGTCTGTGAACTAGTTATCAACAGCAGGACACCCACTGGCTAGGCTGCCTCGCACACACGCCTGCCCACCCCCCACCCCCACGTTAACGTTTCAAGATATTCTGTCAATGCTTAGTTAAAAATAAGACTTACTTAAGAGACCAAAAAAAAAAAAATGCAGTTAAAGTTTTATTGAAGACTATCCAGTGGCAAGAACACCTTGTGTATTATATTATCTTTTCGACATTCAAGAAAGAATTCATCGAGAATGATTTTTCACAATGCATTCGTCAAAACAGCCTTAAATATTGTCTAAAGCGCATTCAAGCGCCTGTCCTGAGTTCTAACAGGTTTCTAAATTTAGATCACCAACCAAATACGTTTTCTTATTTTTCTATCCAGAACTTAGGCCTCATCGCTTTTTGTTTTCTTTTTCATTACGACAATGTTTCCATTCAGAGGGCAAATTATTACAAGTTATTAACTTACTCAAAGTCTCTACCTCACCACAGAAAATGTCCAAGATTCATCTAGAATTGAAACAAAGTACATGCAACATTTTCCGATTTTCAAGATACAAAGAATCAGCTTTATGTATAGATGTGTTTTCAACAAGTTTTAGAACTGCAGCAGAGGGCCGCCACGCAAAAGCACCGGCACAGAGACATTGTCACTTGTAAACCGCCGGTTCCATTATTCGTGGCTGAAATAAACGTCTGACCAATGACTACATTAGTCCATCCTGGGGGCGGGGGAGAGAAAAAGGTAAACAACTCCAGAATCCAGTTCTATATCGAGAAGCTTGCTAACACCGGCAGCTCTTTCTTTCCCCAAGTGTACTCCTGAAATCTGATGGTTCGTCGAAAGGAAAAAGCCACAGAAATCTGTCCATCTGCCACAAACTCTGCCAGGCTTCGCATCCCGGGGTGGGGGCTGGGGTGGAGACTCGCCGCGAGCCGGCGGCAGAGGGGGCAGGGGAGGGAGAAGGCCTGAGCTCGCCGCGGGGGGTGGGAAGGCAAAGGAACGTGGGAGGGGAGGCGGGAAGGGCGCAGGGGCCCCTTCGGCCCAGCAGCTCCTGTTACAGGGCGGACACTTCCATTTGGTCTCGCCAGATCTCAGTAAAAATGGAAGGCCAAATCTTGGCAAATCGTTTCAGTAGGTTAAAAATGGTGATTCTGTCCGGAGTTTCAATTAGCCACTAAATCTCTCCTCTGCGGGCGCCGCAGCCGGGGGAGGCTGGCCCGGGACTGGCGCGCTGGGCTCCGAGGGCCTCCCCGCCTCCCTCTGCGCCGCCGCCAGGGGAAGACGGGGAGAAGGGGAGCGGGGGTTCGGGGCGCAGGTCCCCGGCCACACTCGCCAGACCGCGCCTCCCACTAGGACTTAGGGACACCGGCCGAGCATGGGAAAATTGGGGCACGGGGTGGACTGGCCGGGCAAACGGTCCCCAGGGAACAGGGCGTGCGTGCGGGAAGAGCCACCGCCCCTGCCCGAAGAAGGCAGTTGGAGAACAGTCCAGACGCGGAGCACCTTCCTGAGCACCCCGCGGGGAGGCTGGTTCCGGGGCGGCCCAGAGCCAGCGCGCGGGGAGGGCTCGGGGTGCCCGGGTACGCCAGGCGCCTCCTCCCAGGATTTGCTGCCTTCCTCCAGCCCCTCCCCGCGGTCCCAGCGCGGGCGTCCCCTGAGCCTCCAGGGCCCGCCGCGGGGTGCGCCCCGGCGCCGCCGGTAGTGGGGCC